AAGGTGTGCTGTCGTCCCTTTGTTGTTTCACTTTCCTTTTTTTTTTTTTTTTTTTTTTTTTTTTTGCAAAGATACTCTTACTTGCAGAGTTGCAAAACCTAAATTTGGAATGCTTAACAGAGCCAAGGGCCATCAGCTGAGAGATCTGGAAGCACAGACTTTCCCTGAGGAGCCTTAGTAGCCCCACCAGGATCTTTGCGATTTGCTCAGGTTGGACAGTGACACCAGGGCTGGAGGCTTCTGTGTGCTCAGCAAACCAGCTCTCTTCCCACCAGAAACACAAGAATAGCCAGGTTGGCAAACTTGCTTGAGTCCATTAGGGCTGTTCTGAAGCACATCGTTCTTTAATTACTAGTCAAGTTATTAACTAACCCCCAATTGCTCATTTTTGGTTCTGCAAACTGAAGCAAGATATAATATAGAATGAAAAGAAATATAATCACAGAGGGCCAAAACACATCATTTTTAAAAACAGAGTTTCAGCAAGTTTGGGTTTAATATAGTTCATCATTCCCTTTTATCCCTGAGGCCTAGGAGGAACTCAAGTTCTCTTTTTCTCCAGTCTGAGATAGCTGGAGGCTTTCCAGCAGAATCCATCTCACTCATTTTGGGGTAGTAGACAGCATGGCTAACTCAGCCTTCTAAGTTTTCCACCTAAGCAGGTGTGTCTCAGTCGTGCCTCACATTAGAACCACCGGAGGACTCTAGAAAATATCTGTGCACGGGGCCTACCCTTAGCCAATCAAATTGGAATATCTGAACTGAGATTTAAGAATCAACATTTCAAAAAGTAAACACACAAGCAAACGGACAAACAAAACTCCCCAAAGGATTCCAATGCCTAAGCTGGACTGAGACCCATTTCTAACGCCTATGTTGTCTCTGACATACTCTCTAAGATCACCCTTCACTTTCCTTGCCAGAAGAACTCACCCTTTACTTGGATTTTTCTGCATCTGACTTTAGGATAAAGTCTAACTTACAAAGAGTAGTACTGAAAATAGATCAAGCATGAGTCGCTTGGGAGTTTGACCTGGTTCAAATGTCTGGTGAATTAGGGCAATATCATCCCATGTGTATTTGCTGACATCTCAGAGATTATATCCAATCATAGTCTCCCTCTGTGTGCCAAGCCCAGATCTTTGACTGCTCAGAGTACCACATAGTACTCCTCTTTCTGCTCCTGCTTCCCTTTGAGTCAATCTCTGCCTCTGCTCAATCAAAGCATTCTGGGACTTAGAGCAAATGGAGTCTCATAAAAGCCAAGAGCCCCCTCCTGGGGGTCAGCGAGACCAGTGCTCATTCCTTGTCCTAAAAATTACTAACCTCTGCAAACCTCACCTTTCTCTGTGAAGAAAAATGGGAACAATAATACCTAACTGAGAGTGTATGCAAAGCAGTCCGAACCTGCACATAATTGGTAAAAAAACAAAACCCTGATCAATAACCATATCTCTTCAAATGTCTCTAAATCCTCATCTTCCTCATAGCACCACTTCCCCTATCCTGGGTCACCCCTTAATCATTTTTAGGCTCCTACCAGCACTGTTTGTCTTTGGGTATTCCGTTCTCCACACTAACTATAGGAATATTTTTGTATAACTGTGAATGTCTTTCTCCTTTGACCAAAAACACTGAGCTTGCTCTCTATTAATGACAGCTTCACAGGACATTCTGGGTACCTGGCAGTCAATCTTCTGCAGTTTCATGTCCTCTGATCTCGCTGTATGTGTGTGCAGTCCCACACAAACATGAGCATGCATGTACATTCACATATAAACATGACCATGTACACAATCACCAATGCATGTACTCAATACACACAAATACCTGCATACAAAACACTCATGCATACATACATACAGGAACACATACGTGTGTGTACATGTGTACACAGTGCACACACATATATATAGTCCCTTTAGTCTTAGGAGGCTACTTGTTGAATCCTGATTTTGTGGGGAGCAAGCCAGGCCTTCTTGTGCTCTGCTCTTGGTGAAATTGCACTCAACTTTCAGGATTCCTTCTCTGCAAAATCTCCCTGATTCTCTTCTGCATTCCCATAGACCTTGATTCAGAACTATCGTTCCTATTGCCTTGGGCTATGCTGAGTGACTGTGTCTACCTGCTTATGAAGCTGTGATTTTTTTTGAGTGTAGAAACCATGTTTGGTTCATTCTGAATTCCTGATGTATAGTGCTCAGTATAGGGGAGAAGGCTTTGCAGAATGGACTTGATTCATGGAAGGGCTTTTTGCCTTCATTTTTATGAAAATTTAGAAAACTCATTTCGGAAACAATTAAGGTTGCTTGGATTAAGGCTATAGCAAAACACCTGTACAAACTACTGTGTGCAAAAAAGTGCCCATTTCAGAAGATTCTGGCTGTGAACAGCTCAGCAATGACCAGGTCTCTTTCTCTTCTCATACTGTCCTCATAGGCAGAAGACATGATATTACTGAGAAGATACAGTTGCTTCAAGACAGTGGTTTCCAGCCGTGTTGTCCATAAAAACTTCTGAGGAGCTTCTAAGAACACTGATGCATGTCCTGACCTGTCCCTAGACACCAGATGAAGCTCTCCAGGCAACTGCCATTTGTAGGTGAGTGTGGGAAACCCTGTTTAGCATCACATTCATCGTATCAAACAGCTGACACTCTCTTCTGCAGGAAGTGTTGAGAATGAAAGGTGGTTCAGACAAAGAGCTTCACCATGTCCTTGCCAGTAGTGGTAGAAAGAGCACTCAGTGAGCAATAACCCTAGGATTAGACCAGCTTTCCAGGGTGTCTTCCAGCAATGAAATAATTTTTGTGAAAGGCAAGTTTTCCATCTGCTTGTTCTTGATGAGGAATCTTTTCCAATAGCTGATTGAGTTGAAAGTCAATTTTAATCCTAGGACAGTGGAGTTTATAGGCCCCTTATAAATGAGAGCCTGTCCTCAGGGTCATATTAGCATAGGCTACACTCATTGGGATGGCTTGAAGGGACTTATGGGCTCCATGATGTGGAGATCTAAGAGACTTGGGCTGGGAGTTCCTAAAGGGGTCAAATGGACCCTACAGGGACTCTGGATCCAATTTAGGAGTCCCAAGTTCTCCTCGGACTGGAACTTTGCCTGGCCAGAAAAGAGCATAGAGGGAGATGTGTGTCCAGAGCTACCACAATGCAGATAGCTGTCAGTTAGCATCACCTGAGGCTGCCTCAGGAGCCATGAATTACATGCTCAGAGAGGCTCAGCGGACAGGAAACTGAGTTCCAGCCCTGGGCCCAGAGGCAGAGCTTGGTCTCCCTGCTAAGTCATATGAGGTGCATTTAATCCTTTCAACCTCATTTCCAAACATTTACATGATTTGAATGATTTAATTACTTAGGAAAGAACTTACCTTGTCAACGTGATTAGCGATCTCTATTAATCGCTGCTTAACTTTTTCCAGATCTTTTCCTTGCCTCTGAAACTTAACAGTTTTAAATGTCAGCATTAATAACAGCAAGAATGTCAATCAGATCTCATCTTCCCAGCTCCTGGAAATGTGAAATCCTGGGCTTTTATAAACCACCTGGGACCCTCGACAGTTTTAGGTGAAATGAGCTTGCATCCTGCTGAGTAATTTCCCCACTGGGGACTCCTTGAAACTCCCTGAAATTCACCCAAGCCAAATGCTCATAATACAATAACTTTTGCAATTTTCCAGCCTCATGAATGATGGAGGCAGCGACATGTTTTGGCAAAGAAAAAACAGACAACTAGAAGGCAATCCAAAGCCATTTTTCATATCATCAGCTTGATTTTAACTTCCTGAGAAATTTTCTTTATATTTGTTTTCAAAAATTAAATGGTAAAAGTAATAGAAGCTCCTGGCAACATGTCAAACAATACAGAGGAGAACGGATAAAAAGTTAATAAATTTCCCATTCTCTTCTCTAATCTAAACTTCTAGAGTAAGAACAGTTTTCTGAGAAACTGTCAAGCCTATGTCAGTTATGTATGTTGAATGAGTCTATGAGAAAACTGTCATCTAATTTTTAATATGTCAATGAGGCAATAAACAAAAAGAAGATAATCTTTAAGGAAAAATGATTCAAAATTAACTAAAAGGAAAAACATTACAGAGTCAAACTGTACTTAAGAGGGTAGGATTTTTCTGTTCTGTCCTTCCAGCCTTCATTCCTTCAATCATTTGATTTAGAAACTATCATTTTAAAAACTAAATTTTCCCCCAAAATACAAATACAAAATACAATCTAAATCATCTATTGTTTCCCCCAGATAATTCTCCTTATTTAGAGAACTACAGAGCAGCTCTCTTTTGTTTTCCTTGTAGGCTCTGCAATTATTTTATAATATTAGATATATTTTTAATATTATATGCTAAAAAAAAAATCAGACAACCACTTTTTCAAGGAGTTGTTTCTGATGCTTTTAAGAGTTCATAGAAAATGATGTTAACTAAAATAAGTAATAACATGCTAAACATTTTCTTTTTTTTTAATCCATTGTACTATGGAATTAAAAAAAGTACTTACCTCTCGGTTATCTGCTACAATAACCAGTTCTACATATTTGGTCATCTTGAGGGTCTCTCTTTTATGCTGCCAAAAGTAAACATAAATTTAATTTCCCTTAAGCCCCTGTCTGTGGTTTCCACACGTTAGCATATCTCAGTGAAATCACTTTAAGGTGAGAATTTTTCTCAACCATCCCTGCCAGGCTCCTGCACTTCCCTCCTTCCTCCTAGAAGTTTACCCCTAATCTCCCTCACAAGGGACTGATTTCCACCTTCATTTGGGAAATTCTGTTGAGTCACTGATTTGAGGATCAGAAAGCCAAGGTCATTCTTAAACAAAGGAACACACAAACAAGCAAAACCAAAGCCCTATGTAGAACAGGAGCCAAAGGCTATTCATTTCAGACCACACGTAGCACACTCGAAGATCATTAAAGAAGATGAAGGAACTCAGTGTCATGGGTGTTCTCTTCGCCTTTATGGTCCAAACGTCCTGGTTTTGTGACTTCAGAAAAATGGGGAGAATATATTTTGAACAGGAAAGGAACACTCCTGCTGCAGAAATACTGACTAATCCATACCAGAGAGCAGAGAGCACTTTTTTTGTTTGTTTGTTTTTTGTTTTTTGTTTTTTTTTTGTTTTTTTTTTTTGGTCACTGATGATTTTAAAATCTAGTTCCCTTTTTTTGTTTGTTTGTTTTTTTTTTTTTTTTTTTTTTTTGTTTTTTTTTTTGGTCACTGATGATTTTAAAATTTTGTTAGAAGTAATAGAGGTCTGGAGAAAAGGGGACTGAGCCAGGCCCTGATTACCAGAAAAGTGAGAAAGAAGCCTTAGGAAGAACCAGAAAGAAATAGAAAGAAAGAAAACAGAAAAAGACAGTGGCAAGGAAAAAAAAGAAAAAAGAAAAGAAAAAAGAAGAGAGACCAAAATATGCCACTGGAGAATACGGAGTTGGTAAGCACGAAACAGTTGAGAAGAATGTGAACGTTGTATATCAGGGAACAGGAACGAAGAAGATTCAGATGGTAGAAAGAGGAACTCCACCCCAAATAAAGGCAGCCTCTGAACTGGGTTATGATTTAATCAAGCTTCCCCAAAACATTCACACTTTTCCACGAATTATTTGGAGAATCCCTGTGGTATCCTTCTTTTTAAATTTTCCTTTCTTTCTTTCTTTCTTTTAGAGAAATCATGCAATTCATCGAGGGTGGTCTCAAAAAGCAAACATTAAAAACCAAACACAAACCTTGGTTTCTACAATAAAATGCAGTTGGAGAAGATAGGGGTTGAAATGGTCTTTGGTCCTTATGACTGATATTACTGGTTTATGAGTTAACTACTTACACTGCTTAAAGTTTAAGCATGTTATAACCACTCTTTCAGACAAAAGCAAAAATGACTAAAGTATGCTTTGAATCAGGTTTCCAGTCCCATAATCCTGAGGGAAACATTTTTTATAAAACAAATCCCCACTAGTCTGGGATCTTCCAAACAGATTTTTACAAGAAAAATGTTTCTATTATAGCAGTGGTCCTTCTTGCTGCCCAGCTGTGCTGATTCACGAATTTAGGTGTCCCTAAAGAAATCTGGAAATCCTATGGAGGAAGGAAAAATAAAGCACCATGAAAGGCATAATTTCTCATACATTTACAATGTTACAAAAAAAGTCAAGCGTTGTAGCTATATGTTGTAGGCACACTTTGTGGTGATAAGTGTGCTCTTATAAAGGAAAATAAAATTAGCCCCCATGGTGCACACAAAATGAGACACCTTCTGAAAGTGTGAGGATCCTGTCCTTTCCCTCACTGGGGTGTGAAAGAAGCAGATACTCTTTGCAGAATCTCTTCTGCCCACAATGCCCTGGTTAACTATGAACAAATCTGGCTACAGATAAATATATATATATATATAACTTTAGAAACGAAAAAAAGAAATGAATCTCCCATTAAGAAGCTCATTGAAAGGGGTTCAGTTGTTTAGACGTTTGTAGTTTTTAGACTGCGGAGGGTGAAATAAACAACCAGAGGATATTTCCAACTCTCCTTGGATCTTCATTTGGAAAATACACAATTCCAGATAATGAAAACAAACATATGAACACAATTTTCCTGTCTCTGCAGTTTTCAGAGGAGTCCACATTTTCTCATGAATTCAGAGAATTGCAAGCTCAGAGAGAAGCTTAACCACATAATAATAAAAAGCAATGGGGGAGTGGCCGATCACGGCTGTGAAGGTTTATTCTCCCATCAGCTGCACATACAGAGAGGCTTAAATTACCTCCACATGATTTTGACCTAGCTGGGATGTCTCTTTATTTTTTTTTTTTTTAAAGAATCATATCTTTAATTTGTGATGTAGACAGCAACATTTGAAGCTAGTTGCTTGATAACTTTTTCATTTTGGAGTGTTATAAGCAAAAAGCTCTTCCTCAAACAGGAATGTAAATCTGTGAGAAGGACCCAAGAGTTGCTGCTCCCAGGGGGAGACAGGAGCATTCTATGAGTCTTGCTCAAGAGGGAACCAATTCCTGGATCTCTCAAAATTATCACAGCCAAGATCTCGGAGATTGAATTTTCTCCAAAGAGTGTGAAATGTGAATTCTGGCAGTAAGAACATGGCCCAACTCAAGTTGGAATGAGAATTGAGATAAGGATTACAGTAAATTCTCACTGCCATCCTTTTCTACCATTTGTAGAGCATCCATTCATCTTGGAATATCTACTAGGAGCTCCCAATGTGCTGGGCACTGTATTGGGTGCTTGGGATACAGGAATGGCAAGAAACTCAAGGTCATTGCCTTCATGAAACTCACATTCTAGTGGGTCTGGAGTGAGAGAAGGGATGACGATAAGAAATGACAAAAAGGAAAGTCTATGATAAGTGCAATAAAAAAAAATAAACAGGGTTCTGCCAAGGATAAAAGGGGGTTGGGGGGGAAGGAGATAAACTAGCTGAGAGCTGAAAAGTGAGATGCAGGTTTGGTGAAAAGTGGGAACAGTGTTTCAGGTCGATGGAATAGCAATAGCAGATATCCTGAGGCTGGGGAGGGCTTTGAGTGTTAGCAGCAGTCAGTAGACCTGGAGTCTAGAAAGTGAGGAGAAGAATGAACGAGATGAGGCTGAAGGTGGGGACAGGGCTCAGGAGCCATGGCAATGAGGTTGAAAAATAACCTAATCATCTAAGAGCTGTGGGAGCCATTGACTGTGAAGTTTTTAAACTAACACGCTGTCTACTGAGGAGAGAACGGATTTTAAGGGGCTGACACTGGAAGTCAAAATGCAGCAATGAGGCTGTGTAGCTGTCTAGGTGAGAGCAACTGATGGTGTGGGGCAGTCAGAATAGACTTGGGCAAACATTCAAGTCAGCTGTGATCTAACCGGAAGGCAGCAATGCACAATAGAACAAGGGCCAATGTTCCCACAACTGGCAAGATCAGCAAATTCAATTAATCAAAAGTTTGGTTTATCTTCCTCTGAGTAAGGAAAAATTCTTACCAGCTCAAGGGAAGTTTTGTGCCTTGACCCTCAGGTCACTTTATGAATATTTATAAGTTGAGCCCTGATCTCTGTGGTGAAAGATCGTTTTCACCATTCTTATCAATGACTTGCTTGGGGATGGGGCGAACTAAGTACATCCTTGTGGACTATCACCTCTGAGGCTTGTGTAATATGTCAGCTAGCAGAATGAGTAGGCTCAAGGGACAGATGCTGAGACATGGGCTGAATCTGACTAAGTGAATATTAATAGGGACAAATGTGAAGGACTGAAACAGAGTTCAAGAAAACCAATGGCATGAGTACCATCTACTATTTATTTATCCTGAGTGTCAATGGATTCAAGACTCCAGTGCAATCACGGAAAGTTAGAGCCTCACTTCACTGTTGTAGTCAAAGCCCAGGGCTGAGGAAATAGTGCTGCCTCTATTCCTCACCACCGAACTCTGGAACACTCAACAGCAAAGTGTGGTATGGTCTCTCGATGGAGGTACAGAAGTGAGGAGGGGGGCCAGCAGGTGAGATGGTAGTTGAGGTACTGGACTCCCACATGACCGACTATGACTTGAGTCCCAAACCGGGTGGCTTGAAAATCATGCTGGGTGTGTATGCGTGCATGCGTGCATGTGTGCATGCATGTGTGTCCAAATCTCAGGAGAAGAATGGAGAAGGGGTTTCAGCATGGTCATTGCAGCATGGTCACCCTCCTTGGGGGTGAGCTCTCATTTTCCCTCTCACTGTCTCTCTGTTTATCTCTGGTGAGTACACGTGCCCTCTGGCAAAAACCTAAAAAAAAAAAGAAGAAAGAAAGAAAGAAAGAAAGGAAAGAAGTGAAGATGGGCACAGTAAATTATATGAATTATATGTCAGCTATAACTGATGAGTTTTCAGATGGTCCTGACCTAGTCCCGATATTACTGTTAGGTTCTACATATAATATATATTGCTGTTACTCCTTATACTAGCACTGGTACTGTGGCTGCTATTAAACATATGTGATAGACTGTCTAGAAATACAAAAGCAATAGCGAAAGTTCATTTTAGAGACTGTGTTTGAGGAAATCATGTATCTTCCTGCTTCATTATCCTGTAAGTACTCAGTAGCCCAAGAAAGCATTTCCAGGGAAGGCAGAAACTTGTGTATTTGACTCATAATTATCCCTACTAATGGAGGAAAACAATGGCGCAGATATTCCTTAAAGAAAAGACAATTCAAAAATAACTTACATGTGCCTGGGAAGTATTACGTGATTTCCCTAGTAGTAGATTTACTGCCTTGCCTCCCTCATAGCTTGTTTAGGCTGAAGTAAAAATTAGTATTTATTCCTGAATGCATACCCGACGGAGAGGGGAGTTGTCATAGGTGAGTTGAGTAGTAAGGACACATCAAGCTAGACTTAAAAATCAACAGAAGAGAGAACTAACTGTGACACGCTCTGTCTGTCTGTGCCCTTTCAGGAGCAATTTGGGCTTGCACTAAAATCTAATGTAAAGCCTTGTAAAAATGACAAACAATAGCTCAGGATTATATTGTGGCTAATGTATACGCTGAGTGCAGAATTATTCCTGATGCTGTGTGAAGAAAAATGCAAACATCTGCAGAAAAATCACTCTGCAAACCAAACTTTGCAACAGTTAACATTTAGTGGGGGCAGAAAAATGCTGGGACAAAGCAAATGCAGTTGCTGTGCTGCATAAACAAGATTAGTTAGCTGCAGTTACTTTTTTTTTTTTTTTTGTATAAAATAAAGGCAGCGTAAGTGTGTAAGTGGGCAGGTAAGCAGCATGTTAACTTGAATATCTCTTTTTATATTTACCATAGGTTCTATCCAAAATAATCTTCTATATAATTCCAATCCCCAAGTATTCCACTTATTTGAAAATTATTTTTTGTACAATTTTCATTATATACATGCACTTTAAGTCCAGGATGTTTTCTCTTCCATAAAAACAATGGCAATTACTTCTAGAGAGAAATATTGAGAATTGAGTTGAACAGCATCGATGCCTTCCCTTTTCAATTTAAAGGTTCATTTACACTTCAATATGCATTATTAACAAAACAGCATTGTTGTTCTGGTTCTCTCCGTTTCTCTACAAGTCAAAATGACTGAAAATTACTATGACAATCATAGTTCCAGGGAGCTGTAGACTAAAAGAATTCAATTATGGCTGGCAAGTACAGACTAAGTTTGCACTTCTAAATGAAATGGCAAACGTATTTGAGTGTCATTTAAACTGTCAAGTTATAAATCCCGCAATGTGGATAACATGCATTCAGCAAGGTACTCAAAGCAAAGAGCCTGGAAAACAAAATGCAAATGTCCTACTTGTTTATGACTAGTAAAGCTACAGCTTAATCACATTTTATCCAAGGTCTGGAATCAAAGGTAAAAGTGTTTAAAGAGTAAAATAAACATGCCTTGGGACCACAGAGGCTGGTCTTTGTGATTTCAACTTTAAATCTGCCACTGTTAAGATAGGTTGGGGGAGAAAAGCAGGATGACAGCTCTCTGGAGCTGATAGAGATGGAAGCAGGGGTACTTTTCAAACTCTATTCGCTGGAATTCAGATTATGCCCTTCTCCCACTCCCCAAATCCTGGCCAGGCAACAAGTTCACAGTGAGCCACAGTACATAATGGAAGAATATTCTCTCTTCTGGGATGGGGCAGAAAAAGAAAAAGAAGCTGCAAAGCACCTCTTATAGAAAATGTTGGGAACCCACTAGCAAATGGAAATTTAGGGTCACAGGAGCAGAATACCTGGACCTCAAGAATGAATAAAACATTAGAGTTAAAAGTCCTGCACTGGTTCAGTTACTAGCCATTTAGGAGAACAGTTACCTAGCTACAAGGATGAGAGAAATTTTAAGAATGAAAAGAAATTATGCAGAATAACCCTTACTATTTGAATTTAGAAAAAAATATTTAAAATGAATCAAGAATAATATTCATAAAATGTTGAATGATAAGCACTGAACTACTCCAATTAAAGTTAGGAGAGACAAAATGTCATAATAAGGATCTTGAACACCGTGTCTCCAGATAGTCAAATGTAAGCATAAGTGAGGTCATATCTATGAATTTTACTGATTTCTGATCAACAGAAAAAAAGGAATCCAGAGATGGAAAAAGAAATCAGGAAATCATTGGGAATCTCTTCTCTGGTTGTATTCATTTAAATTCAGGGCCTCTAGCCAGACATGGGGAAGGGCTATCTTTACTACCTGCTATTAGAGCTCCACTGTGGCCTGTTTTGCCCACATAATACTGGATGGAAAAGGGGCTGGTAGCTATTCAGGCTAAGGTTTCACGGTGATACAAGAGAAATTTCAGGGCGGGAAGTCTGTTTGCAGTGAAGATTCTACTAGATTCTACTATTCTTTCCAATCTGATGCAGAAAGGCAGACTTTTTATGAGCAAACCTAGAGTCGGGTGGCCAGAAAACACAAGCTGATTGTATTGTCTCGAAAGGAACTAGGACGGGCATTTGCAGGCTGGGACAGGGGACAAGCAAGGTTCCTTAGCAACACTATGTGGACAGACTCAATTGACCTCTGCACAGCCATGTGGACAAACACTGAGAATTTTCTGCAAAGTACAATGAAAATGTAGACTTTTTAATGAAGAAACTTCTATGTGGTCTTTAACCTCCAATACTCCCAGAATGTCAGGATCCATTCTCATGTTGTTTGCCATGGAGGGATCCAACCTAGAATCTAGGCCCACAGTAGGTTTTCACTGAAAATTTAATATATCATGATTTTGTCATCCTCTGATCTCAGTTATGTGCTTTACTCACCAGTTAATGGATCTGAGGCCAACATTTGCAATACAATGATGGAGGTCATAGTATATAATTATGCACAACCACACAATGTCAACTGTCTTCAGATAAACTGGAATCATCCAACCCCCAGACACAAAAGTCAAATGGCACAATTTCTCCAGATGTCTTAGCATTGGGTATCCATAGCTTAAGCCCCTAGCTCCTTAGAGACACAAAATCAGGTTTCCCTCCTACCCTTCTTGCCCACATCCGAGAAGGTGGAGGGAACATGTTATCTGCAGCCCGGCCTGAGGTGTTATGATGTGATCCACAAGATCCCCAGATACTCTTCAGGGTCTTCTCAGGGAAGAGTTTGAATTTATGGGTTGCATTTTGCATTGGTTCTAAGATGTAGGTTTTATTTTCAAACATGATGAGTCCCCTGTTCAAAAAGAAATAAGAAAAAATATATTTAAGAATAGCTTATTTACAGTTAAGACAATTCCTAATGAGAAAAAATGAAAAGAGAAATACCAATTCATTTATAACCTCGGGTTTTAATCAGGAAGAATCTTTCTGTGCCATATGTTTGCATTGATTCATTTTACAAATCTTGAAAAGAAAGTCTAAGTTTTTTGTCTGAAATATTCTATAGTAAAGAATAGACTTCATTTTGCTTTTATGTGTTTTGTTTTTGTTTTTCTTTTTTATGTCTCAAACCTAACCTGCTAGGAAGACTTGAGAAAAAGACATTTTGTTTGCTTAAAAATAACTATACCTAAATTAGTATACACAGTTCAGAAGGAAATTTTTAAAAGGCAATTCCTACATCTAAATTATTTATACTGATTAGTCTTTCTTTCTTTCTTTCTTTCTTCCTTCCTTCAGAGATGGAGAGACAGAAATGAGAAATCATCCCCCAGGGGGATGGTCACACTGCAATCCCTTCTCCTCCATTCTCCTCTTGGGATTTTGGGTATATTTGCACATGTGCCCAATGTGAGTTTCAAGTCACCAGGTCTGGGACTCAAACTCTGGTCAGTCATGTGGAAATCCAGGAACATAACCATTATGCCATCTGCTGGTCTCCCAGTCTTATTTCTTAAATATTTTATGAAATTCTGAAAAAAGGGTGAGTATGAATTTATGTATGTATATTTTTGTATTTTACTTATTTATCTTTAGGAGAATTGTAAATGAAGGAACCTATGTACACAAAGCATTGGGACTACCTCTTAGAGGCTGAAGTTCACCTCTGGACTCAATGGAAATTTCCTTATAGGCGATTTCAGAAATGTTCTATGCTTTGTTAACACATCTGCCTATAGGAATACTGTCCATAAATAGTCCCTGACCTGGAATATAGCATTAGCAAGACAAATGTACTTATGGGAATAAAAACTAAGAAAGAAACTTTGGAGTCAATCTTTAGTTTTGGGAAAAAAAGTCTAGATTCTCTGCTCCTCATCAGACATGGGGTAAAAAACATATGTGTGTCTCTCTCTCTCTCTCTCTCTCTCTCTCTCTCTCTATATATATATATATATATATATATATACATACATACATATATATGAAAGTAGAAATGGAATGCTATTGATGATAACATGCATGAGTAAGCCACTATGCAGTTTATTCTAAATGGGAAACCACATTTAGTGTGTTGTGATGATGCTCAGGGAATGAATGTTAATAATTAAAAAAAAGTTTCAGGAGAAAAAAAACACTAAAACTGTTCTTATCAAAATTTAAAAAAGAAATGCATATTTGATGACTGCAGTAAGCTATATAACCCCAGCTAGGTACTACTTTATAGTATGTTCATTCTACTCACTGAGGTTTATGCCTAAAGTCAGACTTGGGTTCATGTATAGGTATATATCAGCTGGAAATATTTAGATTAATTAAATTCATTAGCAAATCAATTAAATGGGGGGGGGAAAGGCATAGAAAGCAACCATGGATACCAGAGACAATGTGGAAGGAGAGGTGGGACATGGCAGAGGGTGAGGGATAGGGAATCAAGGATGGCAAAAAAAAGAAAGTATACAAGACATAAGAAATGGAAAATCATTCGTTGATAACACGTATGTTGATGTGCTTGACTGAGCCAATATACAGTGTATTTTGGATGGAAAATTCATTTTGTATGCTGTAATGATTATAGTGAATTAATGTAAAAAAATAAATTTAAAGAAAAAAAAAGTCTAGATTCTTTTAAAAGATGGAGAGATCTGCTAGATTCTAACTTTCTGAGACAGAGGTGGCATTACGGTTGACCATGACACATGTTCGACTTTCCAGAGCTCAGAGCTGAGGCTGTGTTCTCCCTGATAATGAGCAACATTAGCCTAAAGGTGTCAGCTCCCTTCAAGTGACAGGGGATATTGTCCTGTATGATGGTTATCATTTCTCTCTGATCCAATGTGGGACAGTAAAGCCCTTTAATTTAAAAGGTGCTTTCTGATGCTTAAAGAAAGGTTTTCCTCAGAGAAATGACAACTGGAACAACAGTAAACTGGCAGCTCCAAGAGTCTGTGCACATGTAGCACCATATACGATTTAGCAAAGTGACCATGATCTCTCCACTTAAGAAAACACACTAATTTTTCATGCAAAATTAATCTGTCTATAAGTGGACACTTTTAATACAGAGACTATTAACTTTTTGGAAACATAAAGCTCCTTAGATTGTCTCCAGAATAATTCACACATACACATAACCACGAAACTTTGCAGATTAGTTTAGCAGATTTAAAACTGAGGATAAGTTCCACAGACTCCAAGTTTAGGGCATTAGTTCTGACATGTAATTTATAATATACTTCATCAACCCAAGGGATGAATTATACCTTAATCCTTAAGAAAGAGCTGATAAACTTACATACTCCATTAGTCTTCTTCAGGCAATCTGAACTTACTTCCAAAAAAAGGACTTTTAAAAATGTTTATGATTTCTTATTTACATTTGAAAATCCATCTTTATGGTATATGATATGATTTTTCGAAGCATGACAATCAAAGATATTACCACACACATCATTTTCAACAGAGAACTTTACATTCTTGTATCTAGTAAATGCTTTTTTCCCCTCAGCCTCTTCTATTGCCTACTATCCAATTCTCTCCTATACAGTCTATGGTTTCTACACTTGTCCTTCCCACTATTATATCTTTAAATCTTTCAGTTTCTATCATATTGTGAAGACATTCACTATATGTCAGGCAGGGATATATAATATTTGTCTTTTGTAGTCTGGCTTGCTTAATTTAGTATTAAATCTTTTATATTCATTCACTTTGTATCAAATGACAATTATATGTGCCCAGAAATTTGTCAAACTCATCTAGGTTTTCTTGTTTGTTGGTGTATAGTTGCTTGTAGTATTGCCTGATGATACTTTGTATTTCTGTTACATGTGTTGTAATATTTCCTGTTTCATTACTGATTTTACTTATTTGGTTCCTTTCTCTGTTTTTCTTGATTAGTCCAGTTAATGGTTTGTCAATTTTGGTTATTCTCTCAGCAGGCCAGCTTTTTATTTTGGTGATTTTTTGGGTATAGTTTTTGTATTCTCTATTTCATTAATTTTTGCTATAATATTTATTATTTTCTTTCTTCTGATTTTTTTTTTTTTTGGTCTAGATGGTCTGTCCAGTGGTGACAGTGGGGTGCTGAAATTCCTAGCAAAAGACATAATGATTATATATCACTGACTCCCATATGGCCAACTATGATTCAAGTCCCAGACCTGGCAGCTTGAAACTCACTCAGGGCATGTGTGTGTGTGTGTGCCTAAGACCCTGGGAGGAGAATGGGATTGTGGTGTGGCCATCCTTCCTGGGAGGCAGGGGGGGTGGTGATTTTTTTCTTTCTGTCTCTCTGTCTCTCCGGCAAGTATATATGCCCTATAGCAAAGAATTCTCTCTCCAAAAAACAGTTCCCAACAAGTAGTGTGTTGCAGTCTATCTCTCCCTCTAGATCCAGCAGTCTTTCTTTTATGTATTTGGGTGCTCCAGTGTTTGGTGTATAAATATTTAAAATTGTGTTATCTTCTTGGTGAATGAGTCTTTTTAGTACTATATAGCGTCTATCTGTCTTTTTTACAGTTTTTGTCTTGACATCTATTTTTGTCTGATATCAGTGTCATGACCCCAACCTTTTTTTTTTTTCTTTTTGGTTTTTGTTTGCATGAGCTGACTTTTCCCAGTCCTTTGCTTTCAGTGTATGTGTGTCTTTATTGGTGAGGTATGCTTCAAAAGAGGGACTTTGTATGGTCTTTCTATGTCATTCATTATTCCTATGTCATATAATTATTTTTCAGTTATTCACTCATCCTGTGCTTACTGGTGGTCCATTTTTGAGTGATATTTAACCATTCTTAAATGTAATAGAATGACAGTATTTCAATATTCAAGAGGTCTGAATTAGTTAAGTATCTATTTTGAATACAACTGGTAAGCAAATGCACATTCATTAATTCGTTATTACTCAACTAGCTTGCTCCACTCATCCTGTTTTATGAGATGTTATAGGCCATTGGGAAAAACAGATCATGCCAAGCACGATTGTACTCTAATAGAAAAGACAGCATAACACATATAGGACAATTAGAAATTATTTGAGAGTGGGACCAGCAGGTGGCATGGTGGTTAAGGCGCTGGACACTCCCAAATGGTCAACCATGGCTCAAATCCTGGACCTGGTGGCTTGCGTTCTCATTCCCCTTCCCCCTCTCTCTGTATCTCTCTCTGGTCAAATTAAAATGAATGAATACATAAAATTAAATAAATAATTCTTAAAACAAGAAATTATTTGAGAGCTAAGCTACATATCACCAAGAATCATAACACTCAATTTTTCAGAGACAGGAGGAGCCCAATGTGGTTTGGAGTAACTGAAGAATTTCAGCTATTTTAAAATAATACAGATTGATTAAAAGTCATTATCTGTAGCTATTCTCCATCCCCCTTCCCCATCCCAGTATGAAAGATCATTTAGGTGTGACATTAGTCATCTACTTCACTCTTTGAGGTGGCTTCCATATTTTTCCTCAAGAAGTATTTTTTTGTTTGTTCGTTTTTAATGAAATAAGAAATATTTAAGTTGAGAATTAGTTATAGGGAATTTTTTTGTACTAAAGTTGTGTTTTAAAAGTCTTAATTACGAAAGAGATCCTTAGCGGTCCAGACAGTGGCATGGCAGTAAAACACAATGCTCTATGGGACAATGCTATATTGGAAGCTTCCCAGTTTAAGTCCAGAGCTTTCCCTGGCTGTGGTAGCCCACTCGCCCATATTTTGGGGCTGGCTGAGGCTGAAGGTATATCATGGTGAAAAAGCCCTGTTGAGGGTAATTTCTCTTTTCTTTTCTCTCTCATGGAAGAAATAAACACAATTTTGAAAAGAGAAAGAAGTTTAAAAAATAAGAGGAAAGGACAT